TTTTTGTGGAAACTGTTTTCTTTTTCTTTTTGAGAATTTTATGATAAATAGAACGTTTTAAAAACAGCATTTATTTGAAATCTTTTGTAACATTATAATTGTCTTTACTGTCACTTTAGATCAATTTAATGTATCCTTGCAGAATAAAAATAATTCCTTTCAAAGAAAAAAATCTTACGAACTCCAAACCTTTCAAATCTAGTGTATATCGCATTTTCATTTGGGAAAAATAATTATTGTATTTGTTTGTTTCTTTAGAATATGTTCTTGTTCATCATGTACAAAAAGTTTAATTTCCTGTCTCGCTGAAATGCTAAATAACAAGGTTTAATAATAAATGAATCCAATGAATTAAATGAAAACATTTTTAAAAAGCCTATATTGAACCTAAATGTTTTTGTCATGCTCCGCTCTAAAATATTTGGTCAGCAACAATCCGCTTTTTGAGTGTATTTGCTAATCCAGTAATCAAACCACATATGAAGTATTGAAAAAAAAAATCATAAATATGTATTGGTTAAAAATAGTGGGTAGCATGTAAATAAGTACCAGTGTAACAGTCAGCTTCAGTGTTTAAAAAGGAACTGATTTCACAAATGACAGTCTAACGCTGATTTTCCATACTGCTTTTTGAGTGTATTTGCTAATCCAGTAATCAAACCACATATGAAGTATTGAAAAAAAAAAATCATAAATATGTATTGGTTAAAAATAGTGGGTAGCATGTAAATAAGTACCAGTGTAACAGTCAGCTTCAGTGTTTAAAAAGGAACTGATTTCACAAATGACAGTCTAACGCTGATTTTCCATACAATATAAAGTTTTCCAGACCCTAATAATTGTCTCTCTCTCTCTCTCTCTCTCTAGAGTCCAGATGGAAAGTACTTAGCCAGCGGTGCTATAGACGGAATCATTAATATCTTTGATATTGCGACTGGGAAACTCCTGCACACGCTGGAAGGTGAAAATCACCTCCCACATGATTCAAGCCGTCTTTAGTTTCCTCTATTAAAATGCTCTGTAGACGTTAGTCTGCTAGATGCATTTAGGGTGATTATGGGTAACGTGAATGCGGTGGAAAAACCTGTTTGCGTCTCTGGCCGCCCCTCAAGGGTCGTAAACCTCGGCTCCTGTCACCGAGCGACTCCATTTTTCCTCGTTGTCTTCCTGCGTCCCTCCATCACTCACTCATCCCTTTCATTTGCTCCAGCAAGTACAGCTGGAAATAATGTTGAATGTTAGATGTAGTTCAGTTTTTATTGTATTGCACTGGCGGTCAAAAGTTTGGAATAATTATGATTTTTTTTTTTTTTTTATCGTTTAAAATATTATTACACTTTATTTTACTTGATTTCAATATATTTTAAAATGTAATTTATTCCTGTGATGGCAAAAAATACATTTTTCAGGATTCTTTGATGAATAGAAAGTTCAAAATAATAGCATTTATTTGAAATATAAATCTTTTTGTAACATTTTAAGTCTTTACTGTCACTTTTGATCAATTTCATTTGTCCTTGCTAAATAAAATCTTTTTTTTTTTTTTTTTACTCACCCCAAAATTTTGAATGGTATGTGTATCGCAGCTTTCACCAAAAAAAAAAAATCAGATTCAGAAATGTTATTTCTGAAAGCAGCAAACCAGCATATGATAATGATTTCTGAAGGATCATGTGACACTGAAAACTGGAGTAAGGATGCTGAAAACTCAGCTTTGCGAATTACATTTTAAAATATATTACAATAGAAAACAGCTATTTTAAATTGTAATATTTTTCAGTTTCACTATCTTTGATCATATAAATGCAGCCTTGATCAGCATAAGAGATTTTCTTTCAAAAACATAAAATCATAATTATTCCAAACTTTTGACCAGTAATGTATAATGTACTGCTTTATTGCTGTTTATGCTACACTATTTACATACAGACATCTTAAAGGTACAGTAGCCAAATTGTGGGATTAATGTAAGGCATGCTTCTTCTTTTTTCTTTTCAGGGCATGCGATGCCTATCAGGTCTCTGACTTTCTCTCCAGACTCTCAGCTGCTGGTAACCGCATCAGACGACGGCTACATCAAGATTTATGACGTGTAAGTTGCAAACTTGCGTGCATCTTTTGCCTCCTAACACATTTGAATCTCATGGTCTGATTGTGTGTGTGTGTGTCTCACAGGCAGCACGCTAACCTGGCCGGCACTCTCAGCGGTCATGCATCCTGGGTGCTAAATGTGGCCTTTTCACCTGACGACACACACTTTGTGTCCAGGCAAGAGTTGATGCACTTCAGATGAATGGAAATGTAAAATGTAGTTTGTGTTCTTAACTGTTGTTTCTTTTTAGTTCGTCTGATAAGAGTGTAAAAGTGTGGGACACGAGCAGCAGATCGTGTGTGAACACATTCTTTGATCATCAGGACCAGGTGAGAGATGTTTCCACAAAAATATAAAGCAGCACAACTGTTTTCAACATTGATGATGTTGATGTTACTTGAGAAGCGACTATTAGAATGCGACTCTGAAGACTGGAGTAATGATGATGGAAATTCAGCTTTGCATCACAGGAATAAATTACATTTTAAAATATATTACAATAGAAAAAAGTTATTTTGAATCGTAATATTTCACAATTTTACTGTATTTTTTAGGGCATGCTTATGTTCAAATGTGTGTGTATTTGCAGGTTTGGAGTGTGAAGTACAACCCCACAGGCTCTAAAATCGTGTCTGCGGGTGATGACAGAGCCATCCATGTTTACGACTGTCCCATGTGAGCCTCTCAAGACCACAGCATACATGCAAATGATTTTTTTTATTTCATTGGCAACTTCAACATCTGTATATGGCGATACAAATAAATGTCTTTTTTTTTTCTAGTTTTCTTTTTTTAGTTGTTGCCGTTTGTCTTGTTTAGGATTCACACATTCATTTTGAACAATTATGTTGCGTGACATTTTTAGTAGGATACGTATTTTATTATGAAATTTATATTCATTATAGAGTTTCATTACTTAAAAAACATTAAATTCCCTGATCTTCCCAGCTTTTTCACAAAACTGAGCGCTGTCTGCCCTCTACAGGACACTAAATGTTACTGTGCCAATTCAGAGTCCTTGGTTTGGTCTGTATTATAGCAAACATGTGTAAAAATGAATTATGATACATAAAGATCCAAAGCAGAACTTGTTTGAATGTTGAACCCTTTGGAGAGCACATAAGCAGCACTAGCAAAAAAAAAAAAAAAAATCACAAACTGTTTCATTCTCTTGTGGTTCATTTAATTCACTCTCCAATGTGACACACAGTTCCAGTTAGAAACAATCTTTTAGACAAAAATACGGTGACCAAGAAGTGCAATACAAATCACAATTCTGAAAACAAAATAAATTACAAACGCAAATCTACAAAACAAAATAATTCAGAAAACACAACAATTCTGAAAACATAAGTCAGAAAACACAATGACAAATCTGAAAAGAAAATAACAAATGCAAATCTACAAAACAAAATAACAATTCAGAAAAAACAATGACAAATCCGAAAACAAAGTACCAAGTCAGAAAACACAATGACAAATCCAAGTATAGGTCTCTGCGGACCAAAAAGAGGGTGTTTCTCAAACGTTTGATGTCATTTTCATCTCATCTCAATTATAATGCCTGAACACTGCCTGATAAAGTAGCATTTATGAGAGCCGCGCAGCTTTTGTGTACAGCTGTTACGAGGGAAACTGTTCCAAAAGCGCCTCCTACTGGCAGAGAATCAATTTGCATGTTCAATATGGCCGTTTTCTACTTTTGAACTGTCTTAATGCTGTTGGATATAATTCAATTCGTTTAATTTTCATAAAAAAACTCTTAATATTTTGTATTTATATTCTCACCTTTAAATTCGTTCCGCCCCACAAAAAAATAATGCATTTTTAACACACCTCTGCCTGTTTTTTTTTTTTTTTTTGCATTCCCATTTGCTCAAGTAGCAAAAGAAAAACCCATGATAGTGTTTTCACGACTTATAAAAAGAGAAAAAAATTAAGAGATACTGATAACGGTCAGAAGACAGAGCTATGTCAAATTTACCGTCACTCCATAGACACAGTCTTGTGAAAAGGGTCGGGTTTGTCTGATTTGTCGTTGTGTTTTCTGACTTGTTATAATGTTTTCGGAATTGTTGTTGTGTTTTGTGAATTGTTATTTTGTTTTTTAGATTTGCGTTTGTAATTTGTTATTTTGTTTTCATAATTGTGATTTGTTTTGCACGTCTCGGCCACCGTACAAAAAACGACTACGGCAGTTATTTTTAAAATATGAAGCACATTTATAAAACATTTGAACTGTAAAAGCTTTGGCCCCAAAACGCTGTTTGCTGACGGTTAAAGACAAGGCATGATACAAACACAAAATATGACAATCCAAAGAAGATTCAATCAGACTGAAATATCATTCAAGAGAACATGATTCTTTTGAACTTTTCTCACAAGGCTTTTCACATAACGTTTAACCCTGGTTAAAGGCCACTTTTAAAATTTATTTACACGTGTTTACAGTTGTTTTTGATCAACGGATGAAGATTTTAACAATAATTTCCTAATTTGAAGAGCCTATTTAAATATTTAAGACCTGAGCTTAATATATAATTAGTAAATTTGTATTCACCATAAACATTTTTATAAGCTTTCCAAATCTGAATTTCTAAATTAATTGCCTTTAATATGCACTGATATTTCCAGATTTTCATGACCATGGAAATGCTAGTCACATGTTTAGTCAATTCTGGCCTCATTAAATATGCATGAGCACAGAGACATGAGGTTTAATATGCACGTGAAAAGTCATAAAAATGTGTTTAAAAATATCAAACTGGAATATTAAATTAGACAATATTTGTGTTTCAGAAGACTGAGAGCACTTATCCAATCAATATTAATAATTAAATAAGACATAATATTAATATTATGACATAAAGACATAATATTAATACATAAGACAAAACTGACTATTTGCTAGGGTTAAAAACGACCCAGGGTTTCAAGTGTGAAAAGCCATACATGTTCTCATTCTTCCTACCATGTAACAGATGTGATGATCTCACTTCCTGTCAGATGAAGTGAAGAGCACTGCACGAGATTCACAAGAAAGTGTCACCATTTCAAAATGATTTTCACTTCAAAATCTCATATTCCAGGCGAGTGTTCCATGACGTCTCATTACAAAATACTAGTTTGAGTTCACAGGTTACAAAATATACAAAATCCACAAAAAAGGGAGAGAGGAAATAGAAGTTCACATTTGAGCGCCAATTATTGCCTGGTCCTTATAAAACGTGAAAATAATAAAAGGCTGAGGTATGTGCGTTTTCACCAGTGTCTGCTGTCCACCAGTTCAGGCCGCAGACTGAATCTCTTTAGTGTCTCGTAACCGATGACGATCATGACCGACGTGGGCATGGAGGAAATGATGCGTGCAGACAGACCCTTGGTGAGACCCCACATGCCCTCTTCAGCCAGGAGCTGCTTAAACGTCTCCATCACAGACGAACGACCTTCGACCTGCAAACACACACACAGTGCATTAACTCACAAAGCTTAAATCTATAGTAATAATGTACAATAATGACAAATCATTTTAATGAGCCATATCAACACAAGAACCGTTTTGCTCTTTTGAAATATAAGTGCGATGAATTGTAAGTATAGCAAAAATGTCTCATTCAGAAATGATCGTGGTTATGAGCACATTAACATACAATTACTATCAAGCAACATCTTATCTACTTTATCTTTAAGTTAACCTCATCAGTACATAGAGGTTATTTACACATAGAAGTCTTAAAGTTACATTAAAATTTATAAAAATAAATAATCCATATATGTTAACTACGTTAATAAATCTATTAAAACAAATCTGTTATTTTGCATTATTGATATACTGCTAGTTTTTTGTCAATATTTTTTAAAATAAATTGTTATATTTTCTGTTTTCTCTTTTAATGAACGTTTTCGTAATTTAATGTTTTTGCCATTTTCATTCGTTTTTTTATATGTCTATAATAGTTTAATTTGAATTCATTTATTAGCTTTAGTTTGTGGTTTTAGTTATTTTAGTACTTCAAGTTAAACTAAATATAAATGAGAAGAAAATAGTAGAAGAAATAGAAAATACTAAATGAGAAATGTTGCAAGTTTTTATATTTTATTTTTATATCTTTCATTTCAAATAATGTTTCACGTATAGTGTAACTATAATAACAACCCTGATTTAAATAAATATATTTTAAACATTTTAAAATTATGTCAAATAAATAAATAAAAATAAAGAATATGACCTTTTTATATGCTATTATTCAGAGGTTTGGTGTGAGTAAGACTTTTTTGGGAAAGAAATTAATACTTTTATTTAGCAAGGATTGTACATTATAATTTTGCAGAATATTTCTGTTTCAAATATGCTGTTCATTTGAACTTTTTATTCATCAAAAAAAAAAAAAAATCCTGAAATAATACAAAATGTTTCTTGAGCAGCAAATCAGCATATTAGAATGACTTCTAAATTATCATGTGACACTGAAGAAGAAAAAAGGTCATTCAGCTTTGCCATCACAGGAATAACTTTATTAGATTTAAAAAATACATTTTAAATTGCAATAACAATTCACAATATTACTGTTTTTACTGTACGTTTGATCACATAAAGCAGTATTGTAGAGCATAAGTAACTTCTTTCAAAAACATTTTTTTTAAAAAACATCTTACTGCCTTTAAAGATTTAAACAATATACTTAAATGTGACCCTGGAGCACAAAACCAGTCTTAAGTGTCAATTTTTCAAAATTGAGATTTATACATCATCTGAAAGCTGAATGAATAAGCTTTCCATTGATTTATGGTTTGGCTGAGATACAACTATGTGAAAATCTGGAATCTGAGGGTGCCAAAAAATCAATATATATTGAGAAAATTGCCTTTAAAGTCCAAATGAAGTCCTTAGCGATGCATATTACTAATCAAAAATTAAGTTTTGATATATTTACGTTAGGACATTTACTAAATATCTTCATGGAACATGATCTTTACTTATTATCCTAATGATTTTTGGCATAAAAGAAAAATCTATAATTTTGACCCGTACAATGTATTTTTGGCTATTGCTACAAATATACCTGTACTGACTACTTATGACTGCTTTTGTGCTCCAGGGTCACAAATAACAATATGAATTACAGCAGGTTATGGGTGAGTTTGTACCTGTACTCGGGCTCGGACCACGTCCATGGGGTTGGTGAGGGTGGAGGCTGTAGCTGCAGCCATCGGTCCCGCCATGGCCTGCAGGAGGAGGTGCGGACAGTCCACTGGAGCCAGTCTGGAGAGCTGCTCTGCAAAGAGAGAGAGAGAGAGAGAGAGAACTTTATTGTCACTGTACATGTACAGTGATACTCTGGTGGAGGTGCCTTCTGCACACACATAATCTGCACACACATATTATACACTAAAGACTACCATTATGCAATATAACATACAATATACATAATACGCTATACAATCCAATACACTATACACAATGTAATATACAATATACACAATATGCTATACAACACAGTACACAGAGGACACATAACATAAGACAACAGATGTGCATAAATGTAAACATTATGTGTGCGAAAAATAAACACGATTTATTTAATTTTACATTAACATTATTGCAATTAAGCAGGAAGTGCTGAGGTAGTGTAGTTGACATCTTGACCATGATAAATGAGATTTTACACAATGAAATACAGCACAGTAAGGTGACTCAAGGCAGTATGTGGGGAAGTGATTGAGGTCTCTAGGTCCATGTGGAAGGTGGGGTGTTCAATAGAGCGACTGCTCTGAGGTAAAAACTGTGGAAACACATGAGCCCATGGGATTTATGTTACAAAGTAAGAGCGTTTATCAAGTAACATTTCAGTTCACCGAAACTTCGGCAACCGAAAATATATTGGAGAACCGAAATCACTGGTCGATACCACGGTTTAATTAGCGCTTCTCCACGGGCGCGTTTTGACTGTCTTGTTTGTGCTTTGTTACTAGTGTCAATATGAAACAATGTCTGAGTTTTCAAATTCTGTCAATCTTATCACAAAATTCAAACAACAAATGGCGTTTTGCCGCACTTTAATGTGGCGTCACAGACCCACGGAACGTGAATCCGCCATCTCTTCCTCTTTTTGATCATTAAAGTATGAAAAATAAACATGAATGAACATCAGAGATTATATTGAAAGAAAGAGTTTAATTTACTGAAATATGAAAAATATATCAATCAGTGTTTTTTTAAAGTGTTTTTTACCGCTTAAAGACGTCAATAGCTTGTAAACAACGTAACGTTACATTTACCTCAGGAAAGCCATTCAATGTCCATAAACTCGACAGTCAGCTAGAAAAAAAGTCATCTGGAGATGAGCATCGTCCTAAATATATGCATTATAATACATACTGGATATTACATTTTTAATATATATTTTACCTAACTTGCAGTCGTCATTATTTAATGTATGTTTGAATAGTAAATGTCATATAGATTTTTAATGTAATATATATTTTATTTATTTTATTACCTTTCAAAGATACTGATTTTCAATATTAAACATTAAACAAATAGCCGACTGAATATAACAAATTCAGGATATATTTTACTTAACCTGTTTTCAGTTTAAATAAATCTGTTATGAAAACAAGTTTTTATGACGGCTGTTTAAATGTTTATATTTCAACAATGAACTGAATAATTGTATCATTAAAAAGTTTGTATAAAAACTTAAACAATGTCAACTTGTTCATGTTGTTCATTGTAACAAAAAAGTATTATTCTTTTTAGTATTAAAAATGTGTTATTTTTTAAATGGTTGGTTATTTTTTATATGTTTTTAAAGACAACTCTTATTTGAGTGCTGATTATTAAATTAATTGTATTAATTCATTGATTATTAATTACACTTTCTTTTCAATTAGGTTTTCAGCTAAATTAATGCTTTAATATCAGTTTTGGTGTTGGGATCCAATTTTTTCTCCATCACTAAATATGTGACTCTGGAGCACAAAACCAGTCTTAAGTCGCTGGGGTATATTTGTAACAATATCCAACAATACATTGTATGGGTCAAAATTATCGATATTCCTTTTAGGATAATAAATAAAGATCATGTTCCATGAAGACATTTTGTAGATTTCCTACCGTAAATATATCAATTTAATTTTTGATTAGTAATATGCATTGCTAAGAACTTCATTTGGACAACATTAACGGCGATTTTCTCAATATTTAGATTTTTTTGCACCCTCAGATTCCAGATTTTCAAATAGTTGCATCTCGGCCAAATATTGTCCTATCCTAACAAACCATACATCAATGGAAAGCTTATTTATTCAGCAATTTCAAAAAATTGACCCTTATGACTGGTTTTGTGGTCCAGGGTCACATATTTTCTTTACCTGCATAAAAGTGATAAAACGGCCACCAGACGGCGCTGTTGGGTATGTAGGTGAGGAGCGACGCCACATATCCACGATAAAAGCCCCGAAATCCATCCGCGTGAAAAATCTGTACCACAATGTCTCTGGTCTGGCCAAACGTCACTTTGTGCTTGGACGTGGCCATCACCATCTTGGACTTGAGTTTGAAGCGTGTGAGCTGACACCCCTGACCCTGCACCATCAGCTGCTGGGACACCACGTCGATGGGCACCGTGATGCTTTGGGCCACCAGCGAGGCCGCGCCGCCCGCCACCAGAGACTTGACCGTGTTACTGGACGAATAACAGGACACGTGTTTCCTCACCAGCTCGTAGGTAGTGATGTAGGCCTGACCTGAGATCAGCGTGAACGTGTTGACCATGAACCCTCGATAAAGGCCACGCGTCCCCTCGGTCTTCAGAATCTTCCAGAAGGCGTCGAAGGTGCCGTTATAGAGCGACTTCCCCTTCTGGACCTGCAGTCTGGTGCGGATCAGGGTGAACGGGTAGACGGCGGCCCGTGTGGTCATGGTCATGAAGACGCCCAGAGAGTAGAACTTCCTCTTGTCCAGATCCTCCCACTCGATGATCTGAATGTTGCGCTTCTGTTGCATCATTGCGGCCGATGACCTCACACACAAAATAACGCGCGCACACACTCGCTCCGCTCCCGCTCGACCTGAAATGACAAAATCACAACAGTTCAAATAAAACTGCAGATCTGAAGGTACAGAGTTCAAAGGTCATGTGACTGCAGGGTTATGCCATAATCAAATGCTCTGCAGAGATAATTTCTTGACACGTGTAAACAAAAAAGCAGATATTGAACATCTGAAATCTATGAAATATGCACATTTTTATTACAATCTTTATTTGATCTATTTATTTCTTTTTGTTATATGAAGGTTTGTTATATGAATGAACCTTTCAAATGCAGTTTATGTATAGATTGTATTGTTTAACACTTGTCCATGACCAAGATTTTCAATCTTAAACATTAAAGTCAACTTTAATGGGATGAAAATATATTCATTTTTAATAATTATATTATTTAGTAATATAAATTTATTGATTTCTGTTACAGTGAAGAAGATGAACAAGTTTACTGTGAGCATTCTGAGCACAAAACAAAATAATTTTTCAAGTAAAAAAAAAAGTGTTAATAAAAAGTCAAATAAAGCAACATCCATCATAAAAATATACTAAATAAAAATAATTACATTTTATAATGTAAATTATAAAATTCTAAATTCTAATTTTAAATTATTCTAATTCTAAAAATGCCACACATTCTCCAGGATTATACCTGTCAAAATAATAATAATAGTAAAAATAATTGTAATAAATGTTTGTTTTTAAATGATATCTTTATTGTTCTAAAGTAAACATTCAAAATCATATTTATAGCATCACATTTGGAATTAATTAATCAGAATAATAAGGCTTGGCAAAATTGCATTAGATTACAAATTAAATACCACCAACCATTTAAAAAATAAAACACATTTTTATTCACAAAATTAATGTAGTGCTTATATGAAGCATTGCATATTTGTTACCATGAACAACACGTAAATCAGAATGTTTCTAAAATCTTAATTTTTATATTAATTTCTAAATCACTAGAATGCCATACTTTGCACAGAATTATACTTCTTGAAAAAAAAAAATATATATATATATATATATATATATTCTCTGTTGTTCTAAAGTAAACATTAATGAAGAGAAAATTATATTCATAGCATATTTAGAATTAACCAGAAAAATAGGGCTTGGCATTTAACACATTTTATTACTAAAAAAGAATGTAATCCTTTCATATTAATCTGTAAATTACTAGAATACCATGCATTCCTCAGGATTATACCTGTCAGAATTAAAACTAAAGTTTTTAATAAATATTTATTTTTAAATTATACCTCTGTTGTGCCAAAGTAAACTTTAAAGAGGAGACCATTATTATTATATTAATATGATATAATTATAATATTATATTATATAATTATAGCATCATATTTAGAATTAACCTAATGACAAAACCTGTTTAAAACTGTTTATAACAACTGGGATTTAGTCAATGGAAGAATTGCATTAGAGTAGAAATTGTTATGTTACTGAATTTTGAGGGACCACACTACCTTGATGCAGCTCTTTTCATATTTGACATGCATGACCATAAATAGCCAGTGACAGATGTAACAGACACTCTTTCTTCTGTCCTCCATTAGTTATTTGGCTCTGACACAGAGCTGAATGTTTATCAGTCATTGTGACCTTTTCATGGTGAAGCTGCATGGTATCTACTGCACATGCGCATTACACAAGACAATATACCACCAGACACCCCCCTGAAACAAAAAGCAGCTTCTGTTGTGTCCCTCCCCTCGCCCAGCAGATGTACAGGACACTTCATTTGACCTCTCAGACACACGCTAACTCACCCGGTTAGCTCGCCATATTTGCTGTTTCTCCATCCAGCGGCCTCAAGCGGAGCTGTGCGGTCCTGTCATGAGAGAAACCCGCTATTATGCCTCTATAAACCGCATTTTGCCTGATCGATTCGCGGCCTGCAGCTCCAGTTAGAAAGTCATGCCGCCGATCGAGTCCAGCCCGAGCCCTCCTCCACACTTCCGGCGCATGCTCGAACGTCACTGACCGCTGCTGCCTGTTGATTGGTCAGTGACACAGGAGGAGCTGTTTGATGATTGGGCGGTGATGTGTGCCATACAAGTTATTTATTTATTTATCTATACATGAACAAAATCAAGAGAAATGTTGAATTTTTTTATTATTACAATGAACAACATGCATAAGTTTACATGATTTAATTATGATCCGGCACATTTATTATTATTATTTTGTAATTTTGTATTGTATGTTTTATATGTAATAAATACAACATAGATAAATATTATATATAAACTTTAACAATATTATCTAATATTACTTTAAATGTAATATAACACCATTATATAATGTTATGTAAAATATTATATTATATATTTTATATTATATATTTATTATATATTTTTATAACTAATATATATATATACAATAAGATACACTTTACAAATAAAAAGTGTTGCAGCATTATTGCTTAAAATAATTTATGAAATGTACATGTAAACAGGCATTTCTGTTAACTTATTTTTCATTTTTATATGCATATAAACATAAACAACAAGAAAAACGTTGCATTTTTGTTGCAATTAACAATATGAACAAGTTTACATTGTTTTAACAATAAAATAAAATCAATTAAAAATAAAATGGTTCAACAAAAAAGTAAGATACATTTAAAAATAAAAAGGTGTTAATAAAACAGCACCAAAGAAGAAAAATCGCTACTTTCCTATTTAGATAAAAATCGCACATACAAAACAACAAACGTTTGAAAAAATATTGCTTGAAATAATTTCTGAAACGAAATAAACTAAATGGTTTGTATTTATAGTAATGTATGAATATTAATGTTTACACACGCGCGTGCACACACACACACTTAAAAATGATAAATAAAAATAAATTTGATGTCTTCAGACATTTACACTTGTAAATACTGTCGATATAAAGTATTTAACATTATTAATACAGATAGGATCATTTAAAAAAATAGATAATCTCTATATCCACTTTGATATCCATTATATTAAGATTTGTTGATAAACCAAAGTGATGAAAAATAGTGTAGGAGCAGTGTTGGGGAAAGTTACTTTTAAAAGTAATGCATTACAATATTGCGTTACTCCTTTAAAAAGTAACTAATTATGGTACTTAGTTACTTTTTATGGAAAGTAATGCGTTACGTTACTTTTCCGTTACTTTTAAAAATCTGGACAGGGCTTGCTTGTTTGTTTTTAAAATAAAAAAAGCCCAACACTGTGTAGGAGATACTATTTGTTGATTGGACGACGCTGTGCGAGATCCTGTACTCTGATTGGACAGTCCTCCAGGGAGGTACTGTTTGCTGATTGGCTAGCTGTCGTGGCTCGAGCGAGTGGAGTCGTGTTAATATTAGGAGTCATCATGGCGCTCGATTCGCCTCAGTACGGTAAGGGCTGTTTTTACTGACAAAAATAACAACATTCATCTAATTTACGCTCTTATAGAGGTGTATATAACCGGTTATATGCGAAGTCACAATTGTGTGTTAAAACAGCCCTTAAATAACCACTTTTAGAAGGAAGAAAGAGGCGGTTTTGTCGTTAGCAGTGCGGCTAGCAGCGAGAGAGCGACTGACATCCAGATCGCGTGCTAACATGCAGCTCACGCGATCACAAACTGATGTGTATCGAAACCTAGTGAAATGCCCACCTTGACAGCAACTGTTTTATGCGTATATGATGCCAAAAATGTTGTCTAGGCAGGCAGCTCATTAAGCATTGAGACAGCCTATTATGTACAATTCTCGATTATTATGCATTGTTTACAATAACACATGGTACTGCCATGCTTTCTGGACATGTACCATGATTTTCCGATGTGTTCTTACTATGTACTATGTAAATACTATAGTATGTGCATATGTAATCAACATTCTTTTGTGCATATATTTGTTTTGACGTAGTATTACTGTCGTTTGTTATCACTATACTATGGTAAGAGCAAAGCATAGCCTTTCTCTGTATTTATTTATTGATTATTTCTTCATTATTATACAACAAATAATACATTATATAACAAAACCTCTTTATCTTAATATGAGGTTGTTCTAACTACTGTGAAACGATCATAAATGGCCCAAAAAGGCTAGTGTCTTAAAATGAACTTGAAAATTAAGTGACCTGTATACATTGTGTGAACCAAATGTCCCCCAAACTGTAAAACCTACATTGTGGGAAACATTGGGAGGGAGTTATCCACAAAAATTTTATTAAGATCTACAATGCCTAAATGTTTCTTTTAGAAGTAAAAAGTGTATAATTATAATTAACTGTGTATATGTCAGTGGACTGATCCTACTGTAATCTGATTGTCTGTTAGCGAGAGTGTTATTTACTTTTCCCACCCAGTGTCTTTATCTTCCGTGTCATAAATATACAGTGCCTTGCGAAAGTATTCATACCCCTTCATTTTTTTAACATTTTATGTTGCTGCCTTATGATAAACTACTTTAAATTACTTTTTTTCCACATCAATCTACACTCCATACACCATACTCGTCATTCAGTGTTTCTGTAAAAAAATTGGGGAAAATCTAACAAAAATACTGATAAGATAATGATACGAATTCTACTAATAAGAAAGCAAAAACAGAATTGTCACAACTTCGTAAATGTATTACAAATAAAAAACTGAAATAAGTACATTGCATAAGTATGCAATAAGTAACTAAATATTTAGCTGAAGCACCTTAACAGCCTCAAGTTTCATTGTCCTGTTGGAAGGTGAACCTTCTGCTCAGTCTGAGGTTCTGAATGCTCTGGACTGGGTTTTCATTAAGGCTATCTAGCCTATCTCTATATTTTGCTGCACTGAGCGTTTCTTGTACTCTAACGAGTCCCTCAGTCCCTGCTGCTGAAAAACAGCCCCACAGCATGAGGCTGCTACCAGCACACTTTACTTTTGGGATGGTACTCTGCAGGTGATGAGCGGAGCTGGTTTCCTTCAAACATGAATGCTTGGAATTGAGGTTCATCAGACCAGAGAATATTGTTTCTCACAGTCTGAGGGTCCTTTAGGTGCTTTTTTTTGCAAATCACAAGTGTGTTTTCATGTGTCTTCACTAAAGAGAGGATTGAGTTTGGCCACCCCCCGCCATA